TTGTCAACGATTAATCCTTGTATAAGCAACCAAAATGTTCACGGTTCTTTCAAGCTTCAATGTTTAAAATTATTTGCACGAATTTTTATGTTTGAAACGTAGGTGTCGATGTAAAAATGTCCAAAAAGTGGACATTTAGAAAAACGTAAGAAATTGTCAAAAGGAAAGTATAGAAATTGGTACGCGGTTGCCTACACAAGGGTTAAGGCGCAGACAAATCTTCCGAATATACTGCAATGGAAGAAGAAATTTCAAGTTGACATCAAACGGCCCTGACCGATGCTCGAGTTCCTTCTCTCCCGTGTACTTCGACGCCTGACTGATTTTACGGACTCGCCATATTGGTTCCACCAACTATACGCGCGCGTGCGTAAGTTCACGATACATAGTTGGATCACGTCGAATTATTTATAAACTCGATGGCTTCTTTTTAAGGTAACTGCTGCCGCTCCAATGGATCGAATGTATGATTGCGCTAGTTGGAGGTTAACCTTGCTCGCGAGCTAATTGCAAGAAGTATTGCGCACTTCCGGCTAGTCATTCATGTGACTCGAGCTCACAATTCAGCATACGTGAGCATGTACGCATGCCACGCATCTCTCCGCTCTGCCGTCTTTAATTACTGTTTGTCAACGGGACTTAAAGGAGGTATTCGCTCAGGAACGTGTAGAGAATTCACAATTCTTGCGAACCCTTTTCTTGTAAACTGAAATGTCTTCAAACTTGCTGTTTTGTTGATAGGTATTTAGTAACATCTTGTAAACATTTCCAACGCTTTACATTGAAGAGTAAGCAATGTCCAAAATTTCTATCTTCAGCATTCAGTCGGTAGACTCGCGTTTCTCGACTACACCTCGACCATTCAATGGAAGTAAGAGACAAATAAAATGGTGTCCATTGAAAATTTTCACTTTTTCGTAAAATCTCTATGCTTAACTTGTTACAAACATGGAAATATCAGCGATATTTTTACAATTTTAGTGAAGACGATGCAGAAATACATGTAGAAGAGGTATGTTAAATTTGAAGTTAATCGATTCATTTTTGTGAAATACTGTCAATCAACTTTGAAAAACATTGTTTCTAGATAAATTTTTCACAAATTTCGCCGAAACGCTTAAGGAAAATATTTTCGGGAGTACAAGCATTCCACACATGGAGCGACCCCTTAAAAGCGAAGAGTTAATTTTCCAGTGCCAGGAAGTTTACGTTTCTTGTAAATAAAATACGCGTAACTTCGTCTTTTTAAATTAAATGTTGTACTTTTTATACAAAACTCTTATACAAAATATTTATTCTAAACCTAATGCTTAACGAAATATTTCCTTTTATTATATTTCTCCAAGTATTAAGTTGAAAATTCAACATGACCAAAAACTTCAACAACATTTTACTTTACTTACACTTGAACTGTTTAAAGAATCCTACCTTCTCGTGGCCATTTAGTACGTAAAAATTTAAAATCTAGAGTGTCATTGGTTAAAGCGTGGCACCATCACCAAGCGTCCTTGCTAAAACGCTTTAGAAAGCATTTCCTGTTTTTTCTTCAACTTTCACTATCTAGACATTTTATTCTTACATTGTCACGTATGTAAGTACCAGTGTGTTGTTAAAGTTTTCGACGAAAGATTATTGGTTAAATTAGCCACTTCCCTCCCTCTGTCCCCCGAAGGAAGGATTAGTGCATTCCTTGCCATGGAAAACTCTTACACTGAGCAAGATCGGGTTCCATTCTCTTTCAAAGAGATTTACCGAAGATATGATTATTTCTGTCTAAAAGTAGAGTTTCCTAACTGACGTCAGGCATTGATGTGAAATCAATTCCGCCTTAAAACTACCCCTGGGTCCTCTTATTGCGTAAAACCGAGAAAAATATTGTAGGAGCCGAAGAAAAATTTGAGGAACTCAACCGAGAATCGAACCCGCGACCCTCCGACTGACAAGCTGAGACTCTGCGCGTTACGCCAACAACGCCCTATCTATTTTTCCTCGTTCTTGGCTCCTTATAGGTTCGATATGGAGGCCCCAATCCTACATTATTCCGCTACCTCAATTTAACCAACCATCCTAAAAATTTATTAGTAGATAGACTAACGTGTATCCCCACAATGATATATCTGTGCAGCTCGAGGTATATCACCGAAACAAAGTTATACATGAGATCCACCATCCTTAACACGTTCAGGACGGCAGCGAAATTCACGAAACGCTCACTACTGCCAGCGTTTCTTATCACCGAAGCGTGTATTATCTGAAAATGTGGCGATCCACCGTTGGATCATACCATCTACTCAGTCTTTTTTGCCATCATCTTGAATGACTCATCAATGGGTCATGTCAGCAAACAAGAGCACCGATAACCCACCAGTGGGTCACACCGTCATGAACATGTTAACCGAAGTGACTCCTAGTGATCGTGTGGCACTTGTTCAACCATGCTTTTCTTAGTGGCTTTCGGTGTTAGCTGTACACCGGTTTGTCCACGAAAGCTAACATTGTAGCTGTCAGTGCTCGTGTGGCACTTGTTCGACCACGTTAGTCTCTCCTTTGGCTCCTGATGTTAACCATACACCGGTTCGTTCGATCCTGCACTACGATCCCAACTTAATCATAAACCTAGGCTACGTTGACACGTTTGGTCCACGTTCAGTGTTTGCTCCGCAACCATGACATGTTGTGCAACAGAAAATATTGACAAAACGTGAAAATAGAAGTTGATAAACTTTTACTTACAACTTCGTATTCTTTCGAATTTTTACATAAAAAGTGCAACTTTATGTTCTGAGGAACTCCAGTTAAAATTCATCTAGAAAAATATAACGTCCCCTTCGAAACAGTACAACTTTCGTGTATGTGAGAAATTTTCATGCAATGCTTTTTACAAATACTAAAGTGAAATGTATTCGGTCATCTCACAAGTTCATGTCGAATTTTGCTTTTCCAACGAACCTCTAAATTTGATTATTTTCATTCCACAACTTTTTTCCATTGTTTTGTTTGGTAAGACCATTATGTCGTTGCTTATTTCCTTGGATTTTCATTAAAATATCTTTCGCTTTCAGCACGAACTTATGGGACGACTTAATATTATAGTACTAATATTAATGATTTAGATAATAGACAATTAAAATAATAAAAGCATCGTATGAATACTTTAAACGACCTAATAAATAAGGTAAACATTGAACGCTAATTACAGAAAACTGTATTGAAGAAATTTAAACATGACTGATACTTGTTTCGCATTTTCACTGTCATATCATTTGCATTTGGATGATGCTCAAGTATCCACAAAAGCGTCACGATTCACAAATGGATGGATAATCGTTCGGCTTTTCAGGAACGATCTTATTAAATGTAGTAAAGCCAAACTACAATACATACAATTACTTCCTCATTAATATGATTTATTTCTTATTACCGCATGAGCCACTCAGAAGCCACTTTGTTATTAATTTTAATTATTAATTAATAAAATAAATTTAATAAATTTTATTCGGTGGAGTTAGTCATTTTAGCTTCTCAGTGGCTCATATGTGCCTGCTTAACTTTAGAACTTATGGACTTGTGCTCAAAATTCGATGGAGAGTCAAAGCATTCCATACAGCACTGCATCCGCTGTCGAGGATATCGCTAACAAAGATGAAATCGAGAACGACGAACGTCGTCGATTAAGAATCATTTAGAATAGCTGTCTCGAAGACAAGTCGTTCCACTTTAAAGTACACAAAATTACGGTCATAGTCGTAGATTGTTTTCAAACTCACAGCATTCGTTGGCAAGCTCGAGTGGCTAAACTGTGTTCAATTGTAGCATCCTATCTCGAATAGTTCTCGGATTATTCGATATTACAATTTTAAAAGATTGAAAGAAAGGAGCTAAGACGTCGCCATTTCAGTACCAAATGTAGGGGAGTTCCCCTAGCGCCGGACGCTTTTTCTTAAATAAATCTCTCTACTTATGAAACGCGTAGGAAACTTATTTTTATTCCTTTTGTCTCCCCTAGGAGATACGCAGAATAACGGCTCGGTAGCGTTTCAATTATTGCAGATATAACTAATGTCCGATATTAGGTGCCCCGTCCGGCGTTAAGGGAACTCCCCCTAAAGTTTTGTTTCTCGATTTATTTCAACGTGGAGCTACATAAGCAACGCTGCGAAAAATATAAGACCCGCAGGATGCATGGTCTAGAAATATCCCAAGTGCATTCCAACTTTGATTATTTTTGTGTATATGAATTGCATCACGTATATTTCGGTTTAACGATAAAAACACAAACTCCAGGAGAATATCAGACAGAATGTTTATTTTAGGAAAACGATACATTGTGTATGAGGTGCGAACTGTTTGGCTGGCACAGCACTGAACGGCGCACAGGGGAGTATCAGTATGAAAAATGTGATCATATGTAGAAATGGTAAACTTTGGTAAAAAAAAACTCGTTTATTTTTATAAGTCGATTACACCATATTATTACTATTACTGTTATTATTTGAAATGTTTGTTTTTCTGGTATCATTTCCAATATCAAAGCCAATAAAGCAGTTTTGGCCAACTTTTCAAGCGAAATACTCCCATGTGCGGCAGTACTCTTCAATGTTTCCGAAATCTCTCAATTTTTTTGAAAAATACGTTTCAAAGTTCCTGGAACCGAATCGCCTTGAATGGAGTAATAATCGGAGTTTGAAACTTTAACATTATTTGCTAGTATAATACATTACACTTGCAAAAAGTATTTCTTCAGTCTTAAACCTCTTAAACTGAGGCAGAATATTAATGCAAGCTCACTGGGTTGTGAGCAACATTCCAGACAGCAAGCTACAATTTTACGTGTATCAGCTTCTCGAAGCTGTCAACAAATGCTGATAAATTTGAAAAAAATTAACGAATATTACCGCAATTTTGTGTGTTTCGGCGTTCGAGAAACGCCCTAAGTTCAGTGCTTAGCGACGAACGTAAAGCCAAAGAAGAGTATTAGATGTAAGCAAATTGACACTTACCCTTGGCCCATCCAGTGAGAACGTTCCCAAGATAAGCGACCTTGTAGCAGGGGTCGTATTCGGTGATGGACGCGTTACCCCGTTGTCTCCTCCAAAGCCTGCCGAGGCCTCTCTTGAGCGATCTAAGGGTCTTCTGGCCGAATTCCTTGCTAGTGTTGGCGTTTTGCGCCGAGCCAGAACCAACGTTCTGTTCGTCGACAGGATCCGCTACCACGTCGCCCATCGTTTTCATAGTTAAACAACACTGTCTGGCTGGCACAAAAATATCCGAGTGTTTCTCGAGCTTCTTCTCACAGACACAGGCACAGACACTTGGACACTTGTATTATACACGCAGAGATGTACGCCGAGTTCCGTTCGAGGGAAACCGAGGTAAAATCGTAGAGAGTGGTGAATCGCCAGCAGCCACTACATCGTGCGACTTCCGGTGATCGGTGGAACCGAGAAGGACCGCGAGAGAGCGGGGCTGGCGAGGAGCTCGACCTTTCAGGGTCTTGTGCCGACTGCTCGAGCGGAGTTATCCGACCAGGTGGATGAGCTCTATCGAGGTCACGACCGATGCCGCTGATTGAGAGAGGTTGTGAAACTCGAATAAATCTCTCCCGATGCCGAGTTGCCTGTTCAACGACTACCACTCTTCGCCGTCCGTGATTCTACACCTCAAGGCCGACTTCTCCTAGTTATTCTCACATATACGAAGGGATTAGTTCGGTCTACCTCGCGAAAAGCTGCAGATGCTTTCCGGGACTTCTTTCCGTCTCTTCTTGCCGGTGCGAACGACGCTTCTTCGGTTGTTTCTGCAACACAAACAAACGAGTCCAGGTTCATTATCTAGGAGTCTTCGTCGTGTACATGGCGTATTTTCGTAATACTTCCAGATAAATACAGGAAAATCAAACGATATAAAGCTGTGCGACAAGTATCGATGTATAGATAGTTACGTACTTGTGGTTTGTTTATGGGGTATTTTAACGAATTTGAGTAATTAATAACGGCGATATGTCTCTGGTGAAGCTAGAAGCAGAGAAGCACCTACAATACACTGTATTTTTTAGATATGCTATTAGAATCTCAAGGTAAAAGAGCAGGAAAGTAGTGAAATTGGCTGGTAATACTAGAGCCATAAGCAAAGGACAGCAACGTAGAATACATTAGCGCACTTATTGTGTTTCCACCAAAATTTGACTTACACTCTTCTGCCCGCCCACCAGAGGTATATACGCCACATATTAAATTTTGTCCGATCGCAACTTTTTATACACAACAGTCAAGAAAAGGGAATTTGCTGTACCTCAGATGATCTGATACGATAAATAACCGGAATATGTGCATTATTTTTTTTACATAAGTAACTTGAAAAACTGCGATAAAAATGGTTGAAAGTATAAATTTAGCACTTGAAGAAAGTTATGTAAATGTTAAGAAATTTCAAAATGAGAAATGGAAATGAGCCAAGAGGAAAGTCATACAGGGCATTTGATAACGTTTTAAAAAAATTATTGAAAACAATCTTCCTCGTTCGCTAAACTTTTCCTCGACAGACTATCGTTTCTTCGAACAGCTGAACGATAATACTTTTTAACAAATAAATAATCCCGAAATAAAGACTGTAAATGCAGCAATTCAAAAAATTTTTCATCGTTTCGTTGCCGAACGCGAAAAAACAAAGAACATTTTACACAACAATATTTAATATATCTTCAATATAATATTGACATTATACTGTACAAGTTTAGTAAATCTGTGATGGAATAGAAAAACAGAAAAAATATTTACATGAAAATTCTGAGTGACCATTTTGACACTTTCTTGTGATATAAGAAGACACAATTTGTTAAAATACAAAATTCTCAATAACTAAAAAGAGAAAAACAAAACAATGTCGAATAGGTTGTACATTTATACAAACTAATTTGATTAGTTTGAAATACTGAATTCGTTGCTGAATTATTTCCTACGTATTAAATTACACAAACTTACAGCAATGATTTACAATGTTAGAAATACCCGTCACTACTCAGGAGACATAGCTACTCTGTTACCATTTCGAAATCGAAGTGGGAGGCCAAGGATTGCTTCTAGATCGAGATGCTCCAAAAATGGATACACTATTTTTACTATTTTAACTCTCCCGAAGGTATTTTCTCGTGACACACATTAGAGTACAAGTTCCGCAAAACACACGAAATTATGTGTTTTCCTGTAGGATTAATGAATTCTTTTTTTTTTTAATAATCAATTTTTTTTTTCACAAAATGTATATTTTAAAATAGTTACAGTGCGAAAGACACTTATAAAATCGAACTTGAAGGAGTAATAGAATATTTTCCTAATAACGTAACTTATTGTTAGGTTTCAGGATGCATTCCGTTCAAATCACACGTACAAATTATTTAACATTATGAAAACTGTAAAACTGCATATTGAAATAATAATGGTAATTGCGACAACAGTACCTTGAACACAACAAAAGCAAAAGATCGCCGATATCATTGTCTTGATACAGGTTGTTATGAATAAATTATTCAGAACTGTTATTTTCAAGCGAAATTACGAGGAGCCCGTGGTGAACGATAATGGTAATATTTTGGAATTTTTATGAACCGGGATAGCGAGTTGTAAATTAATATTGTTTGCCACAAATTAGGTGTACAGGTGCGAAACCGGTATATGTATGTACGTTCAGAAAGTACACTAAGGAGATATACATTAAGAATCATACAGCGAACGTAATTCTCTTACCTCGTAACTTCAAAGAATGTCCCAAGTTATTAAAACGCATCGTTAACCGCGAACGTAAAAATAAAATTAAAAATTGCTTCTACGAAGGTATACTTTTCTTGCTGAAACCATTCTTTCTCATGCTGAATTGAGTTTTAAGGAATTCATTTCGTTGTCTTTACTTTTGCGTGTTTTGAAAGAAATTGCATTTTTCTTTTGCTTAAAATTGATGTTTCCCAAAAATGATTGTAAGCAATAAAAAAATTGAATAAATACTCCTACCTACATAAACCTAATACAGATGTGTTCTTTGTTATGAAATATGTATGTACTTCGTGAAATACAAAAAAAATTTCTTTCAGTTCTTTCAGTTCTACAATTTTCTGTGCGGTAAATAAAAATAAAATTCACGTGTGCCTACTTCTGATACAAATTTCTTGGAATACTCTATATTTTCCTTCTATTTTAAACAAACGTAGTTTTTGTGATAAAGCATATACTGATAAAAAGTTTGCATGACTCGTTTTTGAATTGCAGAACTTACTTGTGGCTTTACATTAGAAAAGTTTATCTATTCCTGGTGTTATTTAAATTTTGCCTCTGGCATCAATACCTTTGCTATTCTACAGAAGCCAGAAATGAAAAAATGGCAATCCATTGAAAATAAAATTTCATTTGTAACAAGGTCTTGTTATTTTAGTTTCTTACAAAAATAGGAATATCGATGATATTTTTATAATTTTGGCAGGGGTATTTCGATATTTTTATAATTTTGGCAGGGGATATTTTTGTAATTTTGACAGGAACTTTAGTTTCTTATAAAAATAGGAATATCGACGATATTTTTATAATTTTGGCAGGGGATATTTTTGTAATTTTGACAGGAACTTTAGTTTCTTATAAAAATAGGAATATCGACGATATTTTTATAATTTTTACAGGGGATATTTTTGTAATTTTGACAGGAACTTTAGTTTCTTATAAAAATAGGAATATCGATGATATTTTTATAATTTTTGCAGGGGATATTTTTATAATTTGGGGAGAAGGATTTAAGCATTGAAACTTTTCTACGTCTGTGCAATAGTTTAAAGCTCGCGTGCTTCAAAACTCCATAAATTATCATTTCTCGTGGATTACCACGAAACACATGTCAGAATATGCCGGAAGATTATAAATGTTCCGAGAATGAACTAATTCAAAAATTCATTTTTTGGATCCAACAGCGCGCGAATAAATGCTAACGTATAGTCGATGGAAGAAATATATCGAGGTCGTAAATTAAAGCTTCGAAAATTTGCTCGCTCCGAACTGTTCGCGCCTTTTGATGCACTTCCACCTTAATTTAATTCTTAATTTCATCTTTCGTGCACTTTCACCTCAGTTTGATAAAACAGATTTTGGAACGATACGGCTGGAAGAAAAGGTTCTGCCGCGGCGACTAAATATCTACCATCTGCAACTCGCGCAAAATTTGCCGAATGTGAGATTTTTCGTTTTTCGATTAGAAATGTTTCGAAGCCAAGGGTACGTGTCCATTTGAGAGTAAAACTATCGGGAACTGTTCTCGAGAGTCAAATTTATCAGTGCACGTAGTATCGAAAGTGCTGACGGATAGCTGGACACACAATTTGAAAATACTCTCGAGAGCAACTATCGTAAAAGAACTCTCAGATGGTCATACTTCTATGGCATACTTGATGCAACCTTGACTGAAGTTTCTGGTCCTCACCATTGCTCAAACGTGTAAACTTTGACGCCTAACCAATTTTACCATCTCCTTATATTTGAGCTGTTTGTTTCGAAAATGGAGCAATTCCACTTTTCGTTTTGACTATAGATTGTTTACAGATAAAATGACCGTTTGCGACCGTATTTTGCATAGGCATGGTAGTCGTACTGGTCGGAATTATTTTTTGGTAGCGCTCGTTCAGTCGATCGTTGTCTAAAAAAAGCGTATAAATTTTATTCCTACGAGTTTGTTTAAGCTGTGTGCATATTATTATTTTTCCCCCGTTTCTCCAGACAAAAGGGAGTCCACAGAGAGTTTAGAAGGTAAAAACGCCTTGCCGGGAATATCCCGGGGTTCGACTGCAAAGAGTCAAATTCTATCTATTATCATTAACTTCATTTTTTTTCAAAAATAAACGGCTTATTTCTTCCATGGACTATACCCACAGGACGAAAAGTACAATAGTGAAAATTATGCGAGAATTACTCATATACGATACTTCTCTCTCATAAATTTGTAAGAATTACCAGTGGCGGCTCGTCCACAAGGGTTGCAGCCCCTTCAGTTCATGTCTTACTATGACGGCTATTAAATTTATTTTTCTATATTTATCTATGTTAAGCACTCGGGAACTGATTTCCGCGTACTTCGAATATTGCACTTGGTGTCGTCTGAAGATTGAATGTATTGCGTTGAGAGTCTGACTGAATCTTTATTATTCCTAATGTAACTGATGGTCTGTGTACTAACACTCTGTGGTCTTAAGCTAAGTCGGCCTTCTTATCGAGTCGTCCCTTCTCCAAATCTTCTAAAATTTGAAGAAGGGACACGAAGGGAGGTTCTTAAAATTACCAAGTGACCAACCCCGTATCACCCCCTTCCATTGCGCCCGGAGCGCGTCACGTCCTTGGAGCGGGGGTGACGAAGCTGGTCCTTGCTGGATGGAAATTCGACAACAAGGGGGGAAAACC